GGCGGCCATCTTGGCCGGCGTGGCGGGCGTGGCGGCCATCTTGGCCGGGGACTCAGGCGTGGCGGCCATCTTGGCCGGGGACTCAGCCATCTTGGCCAGTCCTCGCCCAAGCTCCGCATCCGACTAAGGCGTGGCGGCCATCTTGGCCGGGGACTCAGGCGTGGCGGCCATCTTGGCCGGGGACTCAGGCGTGGCGGCCATCTTGGCCGGGGACTCAGGCGTGGCGGCCATCTTGGCCGGGGACTCAGGCGTGGCGGCCATCTTGGCCGGGGACTCAGGCGTGGCGGCCATCTTGGCCGGGGACTCAGGCGTGGCGGCCATCTTGGCCGGGGACTCAGGCGTGGCGTGGCCGGGGGCCGGGGACTCAGGCGTGGCGGCCATCTTGGCGTTAGCAGGCTTTGGCTTGGCAGACATGCAGGCTTTGGGCTTTGGCATAGCAGGCATGACATGAACAGGCTTGACGTGAGCAGACTTTTGGGAAGTGTCATGTTCCTCCTCCATGACACCCACAGTGAATGGTGAATCAGCCAGCAACAAGGCAAAGTCAATATATTTCTCCAGTGACCAACAAATCTTTCCCCCAGGCAACTGAGAACGAATGGGTTCATTTAAACCCACTCGAAAAATGTCCTTAAGGGCCACATCATTAAAAGCCACCAAATGGCACAGTCCACAAAAGTCCTCCACATAGTCCTCTATGGTCCGACTTCCCTGACGAAGGCTCAGAAGGCGAACAAGTGCTGGGTTCATTTTTTGGGGTCGTGTATTCTGTAACGAATTCAGTCCATTGAAGGCGAGCGTAAGTGAGAACCCAAGTGCAGTTTATTTACAGGTGATCCAAACATCCAAACAATAATCCGAGACTTGACTTGACATGAACAGACTTGACTTGACATGAACAGGCATGAACAGACTTGACTAGGCACGAACAGACTAGACTCACCGACAGCGGGTTACAACTTCAATACACGACGAAACAATGGCAACATGATGGCTACTTATAGCAAACAATAGGGTCACATGACAAGAACAAACCAATGGGAAACTAGACACATGACTAGGACAACCAATCAGAACATGACACATACACAAGACAGAGAGATACATGAGGGCAAGGGAAGCATGACACTAACAGGGTGAAACAATTACAAAATAAAAGACATGAAAACATGAACATGAAACAAAACCCAAACACCAAACCCCACATTACAGACTTTTAATGCAGGGTTTTTAAAGTTGGGTGCTGGGGACCCCAAGAGGGTTTATGGGGTCCATTATTGTGTACATTTAAATTGAATTAATAAAGTTTCTCTTTGGGATTATGTATCTAACATTAATATTGATATTTTCTATATTTGATCATTTGCTTTAGTTTCAATACAGTAACAATATAAAAGCTCATTATTTAATTTACAAGCAACAAGAAGTCTATAATGTCTATATGATCTTAATGCGGAATATTTAGGACTGTTGTGCTACTTATGCCAATTTACATTCAAAAACCAATCCTGATTGGTTTTTGGTTTTTAAATTAAGAGTCAGGTAACACTTTAGTATAGGGACCAATTCTCACTATTAACTAGTTGCTTATTAGCATGCATATTAATAACATATTGGCAGTTTATTAGCACGTATAAAGCACATATTCTGCATGACCTTATTCTACATCCCTAATCCTACACAATACCTTAACTTAACATCTACCTTACTAACTATTAATAAGCAGTAAATTAGGAGTTTGTTGAGGCAAAAATCGTAGTTAAAAAAGTAGATAAAGTGTGACCAAGAGTCATTGTTTATTGTATGTTATATAACCTCATCTTGAGTTACATTTCTTTGGCATTGTGAACACATATGTATCTCTTTCTTACTTTTATATTTCTGTATTTGTCACTCTTGGCAGCCTGCCATGTTGACTCATGTTGTGACAAAGCACACTGTTTGTATTTCTGATTATTTACTATGTAACCTTGTGTAACTGCTTTTCAGAGTGTGTTCCAGCCACAACCCATGCAACTTGTGAGGACAGTTCGAGATATTCTAAGGAAAGAAAGACACATATTAGCACAGGCGGTAAGCACAAAACCCTTTTTTCTGCAATATTTTACATTTGTTTGGAAAATGCAATAGCAATCTTAACTTATGAGTTAAGGTATGCATAATGTAAATGTTCAGTATGTAATTGTTCTTGGTGTTTGTGTGCTTGTCTGTAGGGTATGCACCCTAACTTCCCACCCTTCCAGCAAATTCCTCAGGGTCCTCCAGCTACCAATGGCACCCCACAACCTGCAAGGGAGGATGGGAAGACTGATGTGGACAATCTGGTGCTCAAAGTTTTGGAAATTCAGAACTGCCGCCAAACACTTCATCAGCTTCAAGAGGATTTGAACTGGGAAAAGCAGGAAATGGAGTCGATTCAAGGTAAGAGATCTAAATCGTTTTTTAATATCAGTCAGACTAGTGTTTCACATTGGACTGAATTAACTGGTGTTCATTATGAAGATGAAAATAGTCTAAAACATTAGGAAATAATCAATCCATCTGGAGTTCCACAAGGCCAAGTTTGCCTTGTTCAAAGCACAAAGGGTGTGAAATACTTTTTCAAACCCACTTTGTTAAAAAAGCTTTTGTTTAAATGAAAACAGAGGAGGAAGTGCTGCTCGCCAGTCATTAATTCCATATGTATAAAACTCTTTTCAGTTTTTAACATGTTTTCCTCTTTCATTGGTTCCTTCTCCCATAGCACATTCAATTATTATGATCAAGATATTTGTGAACTGCTAATCATCATATAATACTTTTGTAGTATTCATTGTTTTTGACAATACATATTATTCCAAGTTTTGTATTGATAACACTAGAGAAGGATTCTGGGGGAGAATGTAAACTGTGCAAAATTTGGGGGACAGAATGTAAACTATGTGCAAAGTTTCCAACTAAAGGTCAGTTTATTCTGAATCTTGTGAAGCTTGTTTTCTCTGACAATCTTTAGGAAGCAGCGACTATACAGTCCCCTATAAACACCCCTACACATGCATGTGCATGTCTACATACAGGTCCATCATGGGGGGGTGCTGTGCTCGTCAAGTTTACACAAATTTATCAACCGATCCTCACAGTGACTTTTGGAATTCTTCCTTCTTTTTAATTTTTTTCTTTTTAAACTTTTCCTCATGAGTCATGTTTACAAAACTGGTTACACTCTTGTGGCACCTTCTTTCTTGTGGTCAGACACAGACGTCTTTATTTATCAAATGATATGTAAAAAAAAAACCGGCAGTATTGCAGGCCAGGCATTTGGCACTGTGTGGTTGCACACTTGGCACAGTCCATGCAACGGTTCTGTCTACTGTACATAGCTGCTTTGATACGGTTAACACAAAGCTATGCAGCAATGCCAGAGGGAGAAATGCAATAAGACAAGCCCTAGAGCAGCAGATGTGTAAATAGTTGTTTCCGTCATGAGGGCTCCAACAAGTCTAGCCTTGATTTGAATTTTGGACGAGTATTTGATGTCACAGCACAGCAATGCAAAATACATTATAAAGCATAGGCTCAAAAGTTAGAGTTAATTTATATGAATGATCAGTTTAACTTTTTTTGTCTTTGTGTAGTAGTCTTTGTATGAAATGCACTGAAAAGAGATGTTTTGTGCTAAATGTGCATATACAGTGGGTACGGAAAGTATTCAGACCCCCTTAAATTTTTCACTCTTTGTTATATTGCAGCCATTTGCTAAAATCATTTAAGTTATTTTTTTTTCCTCATTAATGTACACACAGCACCCCATATTGACAGAAAAACACAGAATTGTTGACATTTTTGCAGATTTATTAAAAAAGAAAAACTGAAATATCACATGGTCCTAAGTATTCAGACCCTTTGCTGTGACACTCATATATTTAACTCAGGTGCTGTCCATTTCTTCTGATCATCCTTGAGATGGTTCTTAATGAGGAAAAAAAATTAACTTAAATGATTTTAGCAAATGGCTGCAATATAACAAAGAGTGAAAAATTTAAGGGGGTCTGAATACTTTCCGTACCCACTGTATGTGAAAGTCTCTGCACTAGAAAAACGGCAATTTCAGTTCTTTGGAATTGGAAGTCTGTATAGCCTTCAGTATTTGCAAATATATACAATCCATTATACAGCTCATGTAACACTTAAAATGTCATAATTTGGTACTCTAGAAGAATTTTTAGATTAACCTGGATCAATGATTTATTATCTTACATTTAATAAATTAATTAATTTAAAAGTTATTAATAATAATTAGGGCTGTCAAAATTAATGAGTTAATAGCGCATTAACGCAAAATAATTTTAACGGCACTAATTTGATTAACGCGTGATTATTGCAGCGCACATTATCTGTTTGACCCGTGGCTTCGCCCGTAGTTGGAGAAATGGAGATGCACAGTGTTGGCAACTTGGCAACTTAAAAAAAATAAATAACTAAATAAAAAAAACTGCCTAGCAACAAATCGAGCGATTTCTTTGACAAACCTTATAGTTTCTGAGCGCGAGGTCTTGCTTTGCCAGCGTGCGCACACCTCTGCGTCTGATCTTTTCAGTGAGCAGCTGAGAGGAGCAGCGCTTTCCGTTAACAGATATTATGTTGCTTCTCTAATTTTACATGCAAGTATAGCCGAAATCACAGCACAGCTATTGTCTTTATCTTTTTGTATTTGATTTCATCAGACGACAGCTCGATTATCAGGATTTTTGTGCAGATTAACATCTTGGAAGGGAGAGCTGTACAGGGCCGCGTTTCAGTCACTATTTCTTATTCATTCTGTTGTCTGAATGAATAAGATTAAAAAATATATCAATGAAAACAGTTTTATCGAGAATTTGGCTGCATCAAAATACAGCATGGGCACAGAGAGACCAACAAATGTATAGCCTAATAATAAATAATAATTATTTTGCATGTTCAGAAGAAGTGAGCTGCCCTGTCTTGCAAAAATGTAAACAGGTTTGTGTAAGTAAATTGCTCAGTGCAAAGAAAGAGAAGTAAAGGGAGCCTGGTATTTCTATATTATTTTTTCATGTGTCAAATAGACATGAACAAGTTATTTGAAAAACATCTATGACCTTTGAAACATGTCTAGTCTTCATGCTCTGTTGAGTATGGTTTCACTAATAATAAACATACATCTGCATAAAGCATCAATATTTGTCCATGCCCATGTTGATAAGAGTATTAAATACTTGAAAAGTATTATTTTAAGGTACATTTGGAACAGATAAAAATGTGTGATTAAGTTGCGATTAATCACTAGTTAACTCATGACAATCATGCTATTAATCGCGATTAAATATTTTTATAGATTGACAGCCCTAATAATAATTCATAATTAGTCAGTGTTTTTCTATGCTTACTAAATGCTACTGTATATAATACTATTATATTTAATATTTATATAAATTGTTAATTTTTACATGTAACAAAAACATAACACTAATCACAGGAGTACTCAGTTATTGATTTCATTTACATTGTTTATTACATTTAAAACTTGTACTTGTCCACTATTAACATATTGGTGAGCAATCTTTAAAAGGTACTGTAAGCAGATTTTTACCAAATCATATGCAGAAAATTATCATAATGCTTAAGAGATATCACTTAAAAATCTGTCCTGAGATATCACAACCCTAGTTTCTACGAACAGTAAAGTGATTTTTTGATTGGCCAGTCAGATGGCTTTTTTGCACTTACTTCCCGTCAATCATCCTAAAAGGAAAAGGAAGCAAAAAGCAAAACGGACCAAAAATTGCGTGAGCATTTTTAAAGGATTCATCACTGGAGTGAGCTGAGAGTTTAAGAGGGCTTGATGTCTTCAAGCACAGATGCCGATCTTAATACAGACATAGTAAGCAAACACCATTTTAAACTGTACTCTGTAGTAGGTGAAAACCAAAGATTATTAATTTACATAAATTTGTGAACATAAAATGAACATCATGAAGAACCACAACACCAGTGAACTGTTTCACATAATGATTTAATAGATGTGCACACAGGCAAACTGTAACGGGGCTGACGAGACGTGAGACGTGTGGATCCATCTGCAGGCTTTATTAAAGAGACGTGGTAAACAGGCAGGGTCAAACAATGGCAAACAGGTATATGGCGGGCAAAACACAAGAATAGTCCCAGGGCTAGCGTAGGTCACCGATCGGCAGACAGAATCACAGGGGCGAGACGAGAGGGAAAAATCCAGAAAAACAGGCAAAGATCAGAAACCGCGAAAACAGGCAAGGCAAGGCAAAAACAAGGAAAACTCAGAGACTCGGAATGGGGTACGGGCTAAACAATACTCAGCAGAGAAAGGTGGTTAGAGTGGGTGTTATATAGTGAGTGAGGTGATTAGAAACAGCTGTGTGCAATGAGTGCAATCAGTGCAGTGTGCAAATCGTGCAAAGAATGATGGGATATGTAGTCCGGGGTGCTATGCAACAGTTTGTGTTGTGCGAGAGTCAATGTAATGGAAAGGGTGACCTCTGGTGGTGAATAAACGGAAGTCCATGGACCGAATTCGTGACACAAACATTCATATCAGTATATCTAATGAATTTTTCCTTGTCTGCCTACAGGTCAAAATGAGTTGGATCCACAGCACTCGGATCAAGTTGCTAGACAGACTCGCATACAGCAGCTTGAATACAACTATTCAGTCTGTGCAAAGGTAAATGCTCAAATGCATCATAAAGAGGTCATGACATGGAAGAGAGGTGAAGAAAAAGCAGTTGCAGTGGAGCTGATTTTCATGGTTTGTATGTGTCTGTGTGTGTTTATAGAAGCGCGTGCAGCTCCTTCACGAGGCCGTGTGCGCTCTGGAGCAGTGCCAGTCCTGTCTTATTCTCAGAATTAAGTCCTGGAGGTGGGAACAGCACCGAGCAACCATTGGTGTGCACTTCGATGACAACCTTGGCCCTCTTCAGACATGGTGATGTTTTTGTTTCATTTGTGTTACTGCATGAATGTTATCAGCTAAATCATTCCCTTTAATTTGATTTCCTTTCATTTTCATATTTACTTTTGCCTCTTCTGCCTTTTTGAACATTGGGCTCTGTGCCACACATAGTTTCTTCATGGTCACATTATTTCTATCACTGCTTTTTTTCGATGTCTCTTCTTGAATGTTATCTACCAATTGTTTTTGACTAATTCAGTCTAGCCTTTTTGAAATGTGGAGCATGAAGAGAATTGTATCTAATAGAATGCCTAGAGATCAGTGTTTCTAAACTTGTTTGGGATTCAAATTGGATAGTGGTGAACTCAATTTTCTCAAACTCTTAAAATATAAAATACAGGAGACCTTAAAGAGGATATAAAGTTTACTTGAAATTAAAACTTGTCTTCTAAAATTCTTCATCTATTTGAGTTTAACAGTCAAAAAATCTGTCAAAGGTTTTTGGTTGTGTAGTTTTTTTGGGGGGATCTCAATTACTAGACTGTTAGACAAGGGTTTGAGAAAAAGGCAGAGGAAGTACATAGCCCGATACTGAGCTCCTGTACTCGTACTTGTTAAAATCCCCCGATACCAAACGCCGATACCACACAGCATGTGATAAGTGCCATATTCAGACAAAGAAACACAGACAACAGACAGCAGAATGGAGTTATTAGAGATTAAGGATGTCTACGAAGTACAGTGCACAGCATAAATGAGTACACCCCCTCTGAATAAATATAAAAGATGTATTTTCTTAATGATCACTAATATAATTCATGGAAAGATGGCAAAATTGAAACATAGTAAACATATACTTAATAAAAACAACAAAATATATGCCAATATTTTCTGTAAGATAAGTAAATTAGCCAATTTTGTTTAAATGAAGGATTGCAGAAATGAGTACACCCTAGATTTAATTCAGAAAATGTATAATATTCTAGTACTTAGTATGTCCTCCAGAACTTAAAGTATACTGCTCTGACCATTCTTGGCACTGAGTGTACAAGTTCATGACAAATTTTCACATCTGTGCTGTTTAAC